TCAGACGAGCGGCTCTAATGCTGCCGTACAGCAGCCAGATTACATGCTAATCGAATCTGATTTCAGGAGGTTAAGAGCAGCAGAAGTTGTTATTTTTTAAAGTCTAATAAATTGATAGCTCTCAATTATGCTGTAGCATTGAATGGCTGTAGTCAATTTCCTAAAAAACTATTTCCTAGAGACATCAGCAGTATTGGTATCAGTGATACTCGCCTTCAGTCATAATAAAGATGCCATTAAACAAATAATAAAAATATACTGTCTTTTGTGTTGATTCTACATTAATTTGAAGATTGAATGTGAAATTATTGCAATATAATAGTATATTTAAAAACTTTAATGTTAGGTGCTATTAATCACGATTAATTTCAGGAAAAAATGTGTGAATAATTATTGGGGGTTTTTAATCAATTGACAGCACTACTTATTTTGTTTCACCTAGTTGTTATGGCAACAGTTCTTTTTTTTTTACTTGATGTACTAAAATAAGTAAAACTTAAATAAAAATGAATAAAAACTGTTTTTGACAATCACTCAATTAAACTTAATCTCACACAATTAAAATTAAATCAGAAAATATTTCAAATTAAAATATTAATAAAAACTAGTATCTCAGTGATACTAAAATAATTGTGTGACGCTTCTGATTGATTGGTTCTTTTTGACATGATACACTGATATAATCACGCTTAGAAGAATTAAATCACACTTGACTGAAAATATCTTAATTTCCTCTAATTCTATTTAGTTTTTATGTTTGCATTGTTGTGCACATTTATAGTTTAACTATTTAGTTAATGCACATCATTTTGTCACAGTTTTTGCTTTTACAGTAGTTTTGGGTAATGATAACATTGTGCAGTGTCACTCGTGCATCATTTATTTGGAGATTTCCTCATGAGTGTTCACATGTTTTCAGTGGAAGGCAGAAATTGATCTCTCGTTTGACTTCATCTCCTCAGTCAGATTTCGTGTGTTTGCTCAGACCTGTATGTTGATGGTTTATAGGCAGTTTTCTCTGTAATATCAGAGCCCCTGCTCAGATGAGCTGTGTGTTTGTTCTGTGAAAGCAGCTGTGGCCAGTATTGATCAGCGTGTCCGTTAATGCAGTGATATGGAGAGGTGAGAGGTGGACGTGTTCGTTTGGAGAAGCCACTTCAGTATTCAGTAGAGTCAGGCTGGAGGATCTCTGCATCACTTCACCTGACAAAACATGTTCGTTCAGACAAACCCAGACGAAACTCCAGTAGTGCACATTAGAGAAGTCTGAGGTATGATGACATATACTTCTGTAAATAAACACAATATAAACTAGATAAAAAGGTCCAACACAAACTTTGAAGTTGGCTTGAGAAAGCCAGACCAGAAAGTTTGAAAAAGTTTTAAAAGCTTGAAGTTTGAAAGTTTTCAGTTTGAAGTAGTTTGAACCTTAAAGTAGTTTTAAAGATTAAAGTTTGAATGTTATGAAGGCAATACAGTCTATTAGAAAAACAGATTGAATAGAGGGCAGGGCTTGATTTTTTATTATCTTGCATGGATTAATTATTCACCACAAGACTAGTAATGTGCACAGAGTGAATTTAGATTTCATGTGGACTTTAAATGATAGATAGATAGATAGATAGATAGATTATAAATACGCTATTTTAAAAGATTTTAAAATGCTAGACGTCATACACTTACAGACTTTGTAATAGTCAGAGAGGAAAACTGGCCATCATAGTATTTCAGTAAGTTGGTTTTCTCAAGCCAACATAATGACCATACTTTCATTTAATGTACATGTCTATATAATTCATCCAAATCCATTTATGTAAATGTCAGTTTATTATGCTGCTCTGTGCCTGGCTCATAATTCAGTATAAAGGTGTGATGCTGCATGAAAGCCAGACTAAATTATGTCTGCTCAGAACAGTGTTATTTTAGTATTATTGAGATACTGTTATAGTTTCTATTATTATTCTAAATCAGTTTTCATACTAATTTTAGTTAAAGGGGACATTGGATGCCTGTTTTCCATTTGCCGTGTCGACACGTGTTTTTGTCATTTTTAGTTTTAGCTATTTTAGAACATAATTTAGTATATGAAAAATCAGTAATGTTGGCAACTAGCTGAATTAAAAAAAATATTATATATATATATATGCAATTTAAGATTTCCTAACTAGAGATAAGAAACGATTTTGTAAGATAAGAATCCCAAATCAAGTTACTAAAATTTCAAAAAAAAAGTTAAGACCTAAGATAAGAAACTTTCTGTAATACATCCCCAGAGCCTCAGATCATTTTCACGGTTTGTTTTAGTCAAATATCTTTAATACTGGAGGAATGAGTAATGACTGATGGGTAAATGGTCCCTTATTCCCCGTGCCCTTCAAACTGAATGTTTTTCAGATTGAAATCTCACTAAATATGGCAGAATACCGTGTTAAGTCGACTTCATGTAGCACACTTCAGATGGCACCGGCGTCTGCTTCATCTCTTCAGCATGAGTGAATATGTTACTGTATTGTTCAGACTGTAAGAAGGATTGAGACATGAGGCAGGCACAGGTTTGGTGGCAGTAGTTTGTCCTTCATGAGGTTTAAATGATATAGTAAACAAGTATTGTGTGATGCCATTAGAAAATGATGAAGCTGTATGAGCTTAACCCCATAGGGACAGTTTCTGTTTCTAAAAATGTGGTGAAAGTGAGATCATAATTAAAAAAAGTGTATGTTGCAAGATTTCTCTCCTAGCATTTCTTGCTCAAATCCACATCAACACACCCCTCTGAGATGTGCTTAAAGATCCTAAAGTGATTTCAGCCATTTTGCTAGCGTTCACTAGACTCAAACACATGCCTGCTGTCTGCCATCAACGTCATGTCCTTATAACCAGTCATCTGAAAGTAAGAAGCAGCTTCTTCACCCTATGACACCCTAAACACACCCTAGTGAACCTCTCATTATCACTACTGTAATCACAAGAGACCTTTGGACTCCTCGAGTGACAGCTTGTTAAACGAGTTCAGGCCTCTACAGCTGCTGAGTGTGTGAGAGAGACTCTCTTCTGACCGTTTGTCTTCAAACACTCTAGTGTCATGACAATAAACCAGTTAACAGACTCGATAACTACTAGTCTGCACTAGTATTTCATTCCCAGCTTCTTCAGTGATGCTAGTAGACTTCACAAAATGCTAGTTGAAAACTAAACTGGAATCATAACCATGCTAAATAATACAGTATCTTCTGTGGTCTGATTGAATTAATCTGGGTCACACTTTAGTTTGGAGACGGATTCTCTCTGTTAAATAACTATTGACTTTGACTTTTGCCACAAAAAACTCCTAATTTGCTGATTATTAGTAGTTAGTAAGGTAGTTGTTAAGTTTAGGTTTAGGTAGGTGTGGATTAAGGGATCTAAAGCATGGTCGTGCAGAATAAGACGTGCTTTATAAGTACTAATAAACAGCCAATATGCTAGTAATATGCATTAATAGTGAGAATTGGTCTTTAAAATAAAGTGTTACCTTAATCTGACTGTCAGTGTTTTGAACTCAATAAAGCAATCTGCAGAAAAGAATCAATTCAATTCCAAATGTTAATTCGGAAAGCAGTTATAGAAATTATTTATTCGGAACAAAAACGTTCTAAAACGCGACGTCAACAAAAACATAAATCAAAGTCTATCAGGACTATAATAACCCTGGAAGCGTGTGGAAACTAACCCGACCTGAGCTTCATGAACAGGAATCGTATCGAGTGTTTAATGATGTGTTGTTGCTGCAGTGGCCTCTCAGTGTGGACTTCGGCTTCATAAAGTTTGAACTGTGGGCTCTTTATGTAACATTGCATAACGTTTATGGCATTAGTAATAGCGTGAGTCAGCAGCGTGTGACATTTCTCGGCGTAAGCAGCAGCAGAGACACGTCTCACATTGTGTCTCGCCTCAGACGAGCGGCTCTAATGCTGCCGTACAGCAGCCAGATTACATGCTAATCGAATCTGATTTCAGGAGGTTAAGAGCAGCTGTGGGATGGACTGGACAGTCATGTGACCGGGGTCACTGGGTGGGACAGCACTGAGTGTTTGTCTGGGTTAGATCCAGTGGGTTTGACTGAATCTCACATGCCATATTTCACTCCACAAGCACAAGACCTTTTGTATTTGCTATCATATTGTGGATGAACAGCATTAAAGTGATCACCCAAAAATGACCATTCTGTCATCATTCACTCACCCTCGTATTGTTCCAAACACAAAAGAAGATAATTTGAAGAATACTGGAAACTGAACTGTTTTGGTGACCATTGACTTCCATTGTTTCTCTTCTTTTGTGATCTACACGAGGGCGAGTTAATGATGATTTTTGGATGAACCACCTCTTTAAGCAGCGTTGTGTGAAATGGAGGTGAAGTGTCATTTCTGCATCTGAACAGACTTATTAACAACTTACTGGATCGGCTGAGACGAGGAAGAATTTGAGCGGAAGTTTAGGATTTTTAGACATTGTTTTCATGACAATGAAGCACATTTTCCCGAAAAACATCTCTTTAGTGTAATGTGTCCAGATGTTGGTTTCTAATTTCATTCTGATCGTGCTCGATGATTCTTATTAGATTCTCATTACTGTAATACAATAAGGAACATCATTCTGCCTGGACACAATGATTATTAAAGGAAGGAAGAGGACAAATTTGCTTTGAAAGAGAGAGAGAGAGTGTGTGTGTCTGTGTGTGTGAGAGAGAGAGAGTGTGTGTCTGTGTGTGAGAGAGAGTGTGTGTGTGTGTGTGAGAGA